GTATAACTGTATCAGTATCGGATTATTAAGCTTTAAGCCTTTTGCCTTGATTAATTGAATCATGAGTGCATGGGTCTTATAGTCATTTGATCTGGTATGGTATATTACTCTCCCTTATTCTCATTTTGTTTTTACTCATTAGTAGTTTTACTAATTACTACTTTACAACTTCAATAAATACTAACTCCAGTTGTTGTCAATGGCTATGATGATTCCATCATTTTTTTGAAATAAAGGGCTTTGAGTTGGTATGTTGCTCATGAGTTACCCAAAACTCAAGTAACAATTTGCCCCCATCCTACCTTGATATGAAAATATAGCAATTTGAGATTTTTTCCTTTCTCAACACAACTGTGTTGGTGGTTTCAACTTTCAAGTTCATATAATACGTTTATTTAACTTGTGTTTTAACTTTGAGCAGGAAGGTGATGAATGCTGATTATTGAGTGCCTGTGTGCCTGAGTTGATGAGTGATTGAAGTTTGAAGGGGATCGAATGAAGTTGTTGACTTGTTGTAATTTCTAAACTTTTAATTTGGTCATTTAGAGTTTGCCAGTTTGGACAATCTACATTTCAAAAATGTAATTTTGTATTATATTTCATCTTAGTTTTGTATAATTTTAAACAAAGTTATTTCACTTGATTGTCTTTTATAATTAAGTTGTAAGTTGTAACATGTAAATTAGTAAATATGTAATTTTTAAGTTTTTTTTTGAAAGCTACTGGCTCTATTACATTGTAGTATCTGTTCATATACTTTCTCAACCTACTGAAACACAAAGAACCAAATAACCAATAACGCTTCCAATCTTCCAAATGAAAGTTCAACCCGGGTACCATTAGACCACATAGTCCTGGTATGTAATTTTTAAGTTAAGTTCACTAAGTAATTTTTTTATATATATTTTAATCTGAATATAACCAAAATTCGATAACAAATCGACCGAAACCGAAATATCAAATTTCGAATGGATTGCCTTCTAAAAATAGACAGATTGGATTCAAATAATGTAATCCAACAACCGAACGGGTCGACGGTTTTAAAACCCGAACCCGTCCAATGCACATGGCTAGCTACTTCTTATTTTGTTGTCGTCAAGTAAAATTAAAATGAGATAATTTAATGTTTCAAAAAAATAGATAATTCTTAAAAAAAAAAAAAAAAAAAAGTATTCACTTTTCTTTTTTAGTCTCTTGATATGACTAAAATATTATGCTATTTTTATTTTTGGTAAAAGGCATTGTTTAAAGTTTGTAAGATGTAGCCATTTGAACACCAATTCTTGAGCATAGCCGATCGAAGAGATATTTTCCGGCCAAGTTAAATCTTTTAGTATTTGAATTGGACATGGACCGTCCTACATTATCTTGTGACAAGCCATGGGTCATGCACTACAAGAAAACAACAAAAGACTTAGAGATTATATATAACAACATATTAAATAGATACAATTTAAATACTTCTGAAATTTTAATATTAAATCCGTTGGTAAATTAAATATTTATGAATTTTAATAATTTGCTTATGAATTTTTTGTTGATAAATTTAATTTCTCTTCTAATGATTCAACCCTATACCATATTAGGCTAATTGGACATACGTTGCTAAATTCTATTAGGCATGGACTATAATGTAACCCTTGCAGTAATTTATAAATCTTGAATAAAATCATCTCACGTGAAATTTGTATGTAATACTTTTTAATTAAAATGTACTCCTCAAGGTGCGTATATTTAATGCTTAAAGTGTGTCACTTTCTAGTTTAAGGTGCATCAATTGAAAACTTAAGGTGTATTATTTTATAGCTTAAGGTGCATTGTTTTATAGCTTAATGTCCGTATGTTTAAAGCTTGGTGCGTCACTTTTCTAGTTTAAGGTGTATCAGTTTAAACTTAAGATGTGTTGTTTTATAGCTCAAGGTTCGTAGTTTTATATTTTAAAATGCATCAGTTTGAGACAATTGATCATTTGCATGCAAGTTGATTGGGAGCACGCTTTTTTTTTAAAAAAAATAATTTTTCTTGATTTGAACCATTGATCTAGATTATATCAACGGCTCAAATCTCACCCCATCTTTCACCAGACTCTTCGCTTATATATCAAATAGAATATTTATTTACCACTACTGGAAATTATGAAATTTCCGACCACCTAAAAGTAATCTTAAATCAAGTCGAAAGTTTTGTTCCGACCACTTTTGGTGTCCGGAAAAACCTTTGTTGCTATTTCCGATCACTTTTTGCTTTCGACTTGATTTAAGATCACTTCCAGTAATGTACAAATTACAATCCGTTGTTGCTAGCTACTCCAAATCATGTAAACACAAGGTGAGAAAGTGAGAATAAGATTGGTTATTAAGATAAGATGAAGCAAACATCACATCCAAATTCACATGGGTTGCCCTCTAGAAAAAGAATTCTAACAACATTATATGAAGAAAACATTGCATGTATATCTTAGTTGAAGGACGACGACGAATATAATAAAGGAGATGGAATGAAATAGTTCACCAAACTTAGCTTCTTTCACATGACTTTCTAAAGATTAGTCATGTTGATTTCAACATATCTTTTAGATGAAAATTTGATTGTCCACGCCGAAAACAGATATCAATCAGGCCAATCTCTTCGATTTTAGTCTAGTTCTATCGGGCTATTGGGTTTATCAGTTTTCACTAATTGATTTTTTTTTGTCAGTTTAAAATTCTTGGTCATAACTCTAAAACTTCAAACTATAAAACTTATCGAAAGGTCTCACTAAAACTTTTGACAATTTCAAATTAACATTTTAAACTTTCAATTTTAATAAAGTAACGCATTTAAACTAATAAATACGGAGTATAAACTTATATATCATTCAATTAATCTAAAACTACATTTTCAAATTTCAACTAAAATTAATTAATATATTTACACTATAATATACATAGTAATAATTATAATAAGTTTTTTTTATTTATTTTCATAAAAAATATTTTATTTTGTAATATATTTATTACAATTTTATTTACACATTTAATAAAAAAAAAATACTAAAGACGAAGTTACATATATAAATTTTATGTACATTTTTTCAAATCACTTGTAAAACAAAGAATAATTTTAAGTGGCTCGGACTATCAGATTAATTTTTTATTCGACTAAAATTTTTAGCCCTAACCCTAAAATGTTTCAATCTTATCAAGGTAATCCATCAATTTTAGGTTAAGATTCACATCCCTAAACTCAAGTAAGAGAGGTTAACTCTGCTAGCAATTTTTTTTTTCCTAATATGTCCTTTTTTTTTTTTTAAACACTCATGATTCTTTATTAAAACTTATAAGGTAGTATATTGACATCCCTAGCTCATGTAAGAGATGTTAACTCTACTAGCAATTTTTTTCCCTAAAATGTCCTTTTTTAAAAACACTCGTGGTTCTTTACAATGCAATATATGTTTTATAATTTCTCAATCTTTTTCAGCCTAAAGAATCAATGGACCCACCACCGAGATTTGATCCCGTAACTACTCATTTGAGATGGTAACAGATATACTATCACATTACATACTGGTTGGCTTCTAAATTGTCCTTTAAATAATAATAAAATTATTTTAATTATTGCATTTGCACATAGGGAGTACAGAATCCAAATTCCAGGGGAAAATGGATTGTAGTACTAAGCGGAAGTTGTGGAAGTGGTGCTCTTTTTGTCTTTAAAGGCATGTCTCAATCCTCATTTCCAGGCTAAGGTGTCATTTTGTTGAATCCTTTTATATTTCACTATCAAATTTGATTTCAATTATTATATTTTTATTTTTCTACTTCAAAAATAAATATAATAAAGGATTTGAATTCTGAAAATATGAACTCAAATGGAAACGGTACGAAACAAGGGGAATCTAAGTAGTCTCAAATTAACGCTTATGTGGACGAGAGAAAGTCTTTATCCTATATAATTTGGACTCTTTCTAAAAGGAAATTGTATACGGAGTATATTCTAGTGCAAATTCACTTCTCATTTAATGTGGGACAGGTTACTTTTCCATATTTCAATTCAAATAAGTCTATTTTGATAATCAATTTCTCATTCATTCATTATCCGTTTTGAGCGTACAATAATATACTTCGAAGAGTCTGAATCAACTTTGACATTACGCAAATCAGAAGTAGACCTACATATATTTGTATAACAAAATAATTACTTAAAATTTAATTTTTGCTAAAAATTTCCACTTGAATTGTACCTGGTATTATTTAAATTAATTTTTAATGGTACCAGATACAATTAAGTATTACTGCATTTTAATCGGCACTATTATTGATCAACATGTTAGAATTTTTTTATTTTTTTATAGAGTTAATTATCAAAATATCCCTTGATTAATTTTTTATAGAGTTAATTATCAAAAAAATAAAACTATTTAGTGAAATTATCAATTTGGTCTTTGATTTATTTATTTATTTATTTTTTTGCCTAATTAAGCCTCTCAACTTTAAAAATCTTAACCAATTTGGTCCTCCATTTGCTTAGCCGTCAAACGTACGTTTACTCGGGACCAAATCGATAATTTTGCTATAATCAAAGGATCATTTCGATAATTAACTCTTCAATTTAATAAAAAGGGAAATTGTGCATGTGATGACCGAAATAGTCTTTGACTATAACAAAATTAGCAATTTGGTCCCAGATAAACTAATATCTGACGGTCAAATAAACAAAAGTCCAAATTGGTTAAAAATTTTAAAGTTGATGAACTTAAAAAAAAAAATAGTCAATAACCAAATTGGTTATTTCGCTATAGTCAAATGACCATTTCAGTATTTAACTCTTTTCTTATAGGTGCATTATATATATTATTTATTTATTTTGATTCAAATTATAATTGCTAGTATCATCATGTAACGCTGACAAAAGATTAAGAGGCTAGAAGATTGAGATTGTGATTGTGACAAAGTTAAGCCCATAAAATGTCACATGATTCTGGGTCCATGGGATCTATGGCCACTTGTGCAGAAAGCTTAATTGAATTTCAGCATCACTCATAAAATTCTAAAAGAAGATGCATTATCCGTTAGGTTCAGTGAAGAAGAAGAGTGGGCATTCATCAGTCAATCTGATGTGAAATGCCCATTAATAGATTAACCTATTCCAGAATTATACATCTCATCTTTCTCATCATCTTAACTGTTCATCTTAAGCAAGAAAACCCTTTTTTGCTTGTGTTAATGAGTATGTGTACGCACAACGTCTAGGATGGGAGCTTGACATATTGGACACTTCCCGTCGCCTGACTGCAACTCGCGAGCGCAGTTGAAGCACGTGCACATATGCCCGCATCTGAACAACGAAGAAGAACATTGCCTTGTTTATAACTTGAAGAAATCATATCGCCTCAATCAAAGTTTATGATGAGCTTCTGTGTGTTGAGCATATAGCCATTAATGTGCAATCCAACTATCAGCTAAGCTGATAGTTGGATTGCACAGCTATATGCTGAACACGCCCCCTCACGTGTACGGTGGGTTCTAAGCAACACGTGGACCGTAGTCGCAAGATTATATTACCTGTAAAGAAGAGAGTCCACTTTCATGTCGTGACAAATGCAACAATTCCCTTTGCGTACGCGTTTATTGCCTGAACCTCTCCCCCTCTTATGCCCTGCACTCGCCAAATTTCAATGTATTATTTCAGACCTCTCTGCAGATTAAAAAAGTGGCGGATTTGATGCCCACCCTTCCTTCGTTACCTGATTGAGCAAGCGCGGCTGTGACTTCGTGCTTGATGGAACGCTGTAGTTTCATTTGCATGTCCACGCAACTCTTTATTGATCTTTGTACTTCAAACATCTCTTGACGGAGTTGCTCCATGTGAGTCTTTAGTTCATATATGAGTTGTATTTCCTGTCAATGCAAGTTATTATGTCTGATCCATGAAATTACAAAGTAACAAACAGCATCAATCAACAACTCACGATTGAAGGATGCCTTTGGGAGGACCGGTACGGTTCGTTGTTTTGGGAGTATGCTGATGTGGTCTGATCAGAGTCGTCGCTCAAATCACGGCCTTGATTGTAGCTCCACGTCTGATCAACCGAACCTGCAGGTCCATCATTAACACCATTATCTTCTTCACGGTTATCAACTTCTTCGTCTTCCTCTTCTTGATATTCATCTTCCCCACTCGCAATGCATCGTCGCTCTTCCACCTTGTCACCATCATCTGCTGCTGCTTGTTCTTTTACTTCTTGCACAGCAGTATCAATTGTTCTTTGGTGTCCTTGTGAGCGAGATATCATCAGCAGATCTATGATCTCCCTCATGCCTCCCGTAAGGAAATTTGAAACGCTTCTCCTGTGTGCAGTATAAATTTGTTTAGAGCATTTATTATATGGGATCAAATCTATCCTACATTCTTGGATTCCTTTGGTCTACACACAAGTAATAATCAATCTAACGTTACAAAACCATGGGGATTTCTTGAAGTTGGTCATTTCCAACAGGACAATTGAAGCATGTGCTCCATCTCAACTAAAAGGCTAAGCTGATAGTTGGATTGTACATTAATGGTTATATGCTCAACAAGGACGAGTGAAATACCTTTGAAGGAGTTCTTGAATGTCTTGATTATCTAAGAACGGATCGAGCATTTCTTGGTATCTAGCTTGCCTAAGATCTTCCCATACGCTCTGTGGGCGAGAAACATCAGTTATCCAATCTTGACTGAAATCGTAATGCAGTTCATCTGATCTATTTTGCACGTGAGAATACTCCCTTACCCACCCCCATTCACTTTCCATTGGTTGATGACCAATGGTCTCTTCATCTTTGTTGTGACTGGTTCCCCAGTTTTCTTTCCTTTCTTCGGTATCCCCAGTTTCCTCATTACGCCTAACTCCAGAGCTCACGTTTTGCCCTGTTACTTCTTTGCTATTAGAACACCCGTCAAGTCGAATGCCTGCAACAGAACTCCTCGCGTTCTGTGGACTTAACGAGGTTTCCACCCCTTGTTGAGGATGTTTCTCTTCTTTCACCTGACAAGAAGTGGAAACATTTCCAATTACTAAGGTACGATCGACAACGTCTCTATTATCAGCACCCTCTTTGGGAGTTGTTTTGGAATCCGCAACGCCTTGCTGAAGCACAGCATTGAATCTCTCCCTGAAAACCGGTAAACAGTGATCGTTAATAGCAATATATCAGCAACATAAGGCTTCATTGCATGCTTTATATGCAAAATAAACCTGGGAATCACGACTCGAATAGGTCCAGATGGACTTAATATCCTTTAGAATCAGAAATTTCTCAGGCTAGTCGAAAATATGGTCAAGAAATCTATTCACTCAAATGTGAATCAAGGTTCAAGGTTTAAGGTTACCCCTCGTTACACCCACCATTTCCTAGAAGACAATGAGGGTCTGTTTAATAACGGAAACTGTTTTCTGTTTTCTAATTTTTCAGTTTCCATTCTCTGTTTTCTAAGTAGAGATGGTAAGATACATCATAAATCAAAACTTTCATAGTACTTCCCCTTCTGTTTTCTCAGAAAAGGTAAGATTTTTATATGATTGGGATCAAATGAAACATGTAAAACATGTAAAAAAGACATTACACTTCCTGGGATCATAATGTAGAAACATATTACCTCAGATTCACTATCGAAGATTGTTTTGATCGGTTCGATTCAGACGACGCCTTGCAATGTAATGGCCGACTGTCATTGGCATCCTCGGGACGCCTGAGGAATTTAAGCCGAAGCATAGCCTGTTCGAAGCATATTCGGAGCATTAAATATGCAGTTTTACTATCAGCTTAAACTTTTAGTCGAGAATATGAATATAGCCTGTTCGAAGCATATTCGGAGCATTAACTATGCAGTTTTAACTATCAGCTTAAACATGAATATATTATAACCTGAATGCGGCCTTTGTGCTGGAATTTTGAGACGATTTTGCGTTCCATAACTCCTTCAAGCTCCCTAACCCTCTCGCGCTCCATCTGCATAAGCAAATCAACAAACGCCTTGCGGCCTCTGATGAAGCGGGGCGAATTCACGGCCAGGGAGTGGGATCTGGACGGCGACTGATCGGAATGGTGATGATCGGACGGAGTTCTAAGCCGCGGCAATGGGGAATCAGTGCCTCCGTGATCGCTTTGATTTTCTTCGCCGACGTTGCAGGAGAGTTTTTTGATGATATCGGCGACCTTTAGCCTCTCTCTCTCCGAGGCATCGGAGTCTTTGTGAGGCATCGTCCTGTCGGATTCGCCGTCGCCGGAGGACGATTGGACGAGCCTTCCGTCGATTGAAGAATCATCGCACAGTGTAGAGGAGGTGGAGTTGCTTCTGGAGATGCTAATAGAGGAGTTGTTGTTGTTGGCGGCGGCGGCGGCGGAATTGGCGGTTTTTGCAACCACTCCGAAGTCTCTCCACCGCCGCACAAGGGAGGAGACGCCGCCGGAATTACGAACCTGCGCCGCCGAGGCATCCGACCTAGACGGCGAATTCTCCGATTTATTCGCACCCGCGTTTTTCCCCACCCCGGGAAACACAATTTCTCTGACTTTACCCCAATTACCAGAATCCTCAGTACTCGTATTCCTTTCATCATTCCTACGCGTTTTGTCTAGATATTGGGGTTTATGAACCCAGAGGTCCGTAATGTCAACCACGACACCGTTTTCATCGGAATCTGAACCGTTCCCCCGCCGATCGGACCCGCAGGAACTCATCAAAACCTTGAGATTCGTGTGAAAATGGCTCTGCTTTCTCAACACACACTCAGAGGGGGAAGTTTGGACCTGGGAAGTCGCCATTTTTGTTCTCCTCAACAAATTTCTACGCAGAAAACAAGATTATCAACAATGGTGTACGGCAGCCTCAAGATTTCAAACAGTTAATGCAGAGACTACAAACATCCATCCTGAAAACCAAAGCTTCTTCTTCTCAGGTAAAAAAGGAAGGAAAATTTATCCATTCTTCTCTCCCCCTCCAGAAACCCGAAATTCGAACGAGAAACAGAGATTTCCGTGTTTCTTTTCTTTATTTCTTGGAGCATTCATCAAATGTTCCCAGCTCAATTAGCTCCAGCACTTGCGCCGCAGCATGTTTAAGGATTTCCCCCATTACCATTCCCTGATTTGACCATTTTCTGAATTTTCCAAGGAGAGAGAAAGAGAGAGAGGGAAACCAAACAGAAAATGTCAAAATTGAAAACAAATGAAAGAAAGAGAAGGCTGCATATTGGACAGAAAAGTGCGGTTGTGGCGGGAATTCACAGAAGACTCCATGGGTATAGCCCAGAAAACGAACACAAACAAACAAAAAATCAAAGAGCTTTCCGACGAAAGATCTCAGGGAAGACGAAGGCAAAGGACAATGGGGAAATTGCTGCGTTTAAGTCCAAAAATGTTAGGCATGCGCCGGGGTGGGTGGGTGGGTAGATCATAGATGTAACTTTGATCCCAAAACATGAAAATAAAACCAATATCAATATATATATTCTTCAAATAGAAAATAAAAAAATTACAACTTAGAAAGAATTAGGTAAGAGGTTACATTATTCCGTATTTTTTTCAACTAAATTTTTGTAATGGATGGTATATGTCAGTCACTAAAAAGTCACGAAATTGATTCTTAGCTGTTCATATATATATAATATTTATTGCATTAATAATCATATACTAGTTCATTTTTTTATTTAATTAATCAGCTAAGGAAGAGAATATGAAAAACGTGAGAATTCGTTCTGAATTAGAAAACTTAGTGTAGTTATAATAAAAATAAAGATGAAGAGAATGGTATGTGCTTACATAGTGTTTATCGATATGCAATCATTTTTCACGATAATGAATTTATGTATTCTCTTGATACTAATTTAATTATTGTCTTTTAATTACTATTTTTGAAATTTTAACGTAAAAGTTTGAATTTAGAAACGGTTGAGTTTACTAATTACTATATACAATCTCAACTTGTTTTGGCCGTACAATCTAAACGTGAATCAATAGGTCACTAAATGTCATGTAATAGATGCATTTGTGCATTATAATGTCGTGTTTCATCATTATTTTTATTATTTGATAAATCAACACATAATTGGCCTGAGAATATAAAATTTAAAATAAGAAATATTCTATTGATATTTGAAAGGTTGGAACTTAATGTTGACTATGTTTCAGATTTGTTTTGCAATGTTTGAAAGATTAAAAGTTAAAATTTAACAATTTAGAACAATTAGTAAGCAAACTAAATCTGCAAAGTAGGCAGGTTAAACTTTATAAGCGAGACTCAGATTGAATTGGGAGACTCAGATTGAATTGGATTAGTCTCGTAACAATAACAAAACTTAGACCACGTTTGATAATATAGTTAATTTATCAGCTTATTTTAACTTGTTTGATCACTATTAGTTGTTTGACTTGGTTAAATTGCAATATGGGTGTTTGATTAATTAGTTTTTTGTAATAGTTTATTGCTCCGAAATGTTAAAATTTAAAAACTGCTCAAAACAGTTTTTTTTTATCAGCTTTCTGAGAAAGTCATTTTACATGTAATCAGCTATCAGCTAATTTACCAAACATGTTTTTACAATCAACTAATGTTATCAACTAGTCAAATCTACTAACACAATCAACTAACAACTATTTACCAAACACCCCTTAATATTGTATGAAAAAAATATATCATATTAATGTTCATATATTAAATAATTCGTTGGTCCATTTTATCCTTTTAAAAACATAGTTTTAGTTTACAAAAAAAATAAAAAATAATAATAATAATAATAATATGGTTTTAAATTACTCCTACAATTGTTTAAGGGGTACGTACTTCTGTACCTATATATGGGATATATTGGGGTTTGGTGTGAGAAAAGGGCAGGAAAGAGGAGAAACCGTTGGATTTGAGCAGTTAAAGGAATGTGGGGCCAGGATTGAACAATAACCTCCTTGTGTCAAAGATTTCTTGACTTAGAGGAAAAGACAAGCAAGCAATGGGACAGGGTTCCCACGTTTCTTTCATCAAAGCTTTACCCTTTTTACGTACCTCATTCAAGATTTTGTTTTGCAAAAGTGAGCATACAAATTATGGTTTTATCATTAAGACCATATCTAGCCATCTAGGTATATATGTTTGAAGCTTATTTATTATATTTATTGAGGTATCACTACATTGGATCTATGATGTCACAACACTTTTATCCAATTAAATTATATAGTATATTTACGTCGAGAAGATAAGAATTTATATTAGTTAGTAATATCAACCAGACTAACTCACTCAATTTCGAGTTAATCAGTTTAGACCATCGAATTTATCAACTTTAGGATAAAATTTTGCTGCCCCAACCCTAAAAGTTTATAGTATTAGACTTATCAGTTGAGTTTAATTGAAATTTTAGACATTTTAAAATTAATGTTCTGAACTTTTAATTTTAACAAAGAGTTAATTCAACCAGCGGTTCCTTGTCTTTGGGGTCAATTTCAAACTTAGTCCCAGACTATCGTTTTTGTCATTTAACATCCCAGACTATTATTTTTTTGGACACTTTTAGTCATTTTCATGACTTTTCCTATTTTTAGTAAGGACATTTTAGTCTTTTCATATTTTTCTTTTGTAATTTTTCGGGTTTCAACCAGTTTAATTGGTTTAGAACTTTAGGTAACCTATAATTTTTAGTAACCATATTTTTCAACCGGTTTTTAGTAAAGTTCTAAACCAATTAAACCGATTGAAACCGGAAAAATAAAAAATGAAAAATATGAAAAGACAAAAATACCCTTACTAAAAGTATAAAAAATCATGAGGACTAAAAGTGTCCAAAAAAATAATAGTTTGGGATGTTAAATGGCAAAAACGATAGTCTGAGACTAAATTTGGAATTGTCACCAAAGACCATGGACCTTTAGTTGAATTAACCCTTTAACACACTAGCTATCACATTTGTACAAATCTACAAACCTAATAAGAGTCAATAAAGTTAGACCCTCAACACGAACTAAAAATTGTTAGTGTAATTATTTGTTAAAATGAATGATTCATAATATTATTTTGATTTTAAAACTATATATATATATATATATATATATATATATATATATATATATATATATATATATATATATATATATATATATATATATATATATATATATATATATGCTTCGAATCTGGTGCACCCCCTATACTAGATGAGGTCATGAGGTCTCATCACAACCATTAAGTTACTAGAATTTGATGGATGTGATTGAAAGAGATGTGTTAGATAATTAAGGTTAGAATTTAAAAATAAGGATAAAAGAGTCATTGTAATAGTGTTGTTAATTATGGCTAAAATAAATTAGTAATATTTAGCATAATATTAGATGGAATAAGAATGGTAACAAATAGAAAGTATCTGTGGATGAGATACGAACATGTAGTAGTAGTACGGAAATTTAGTGTTGTAGTGTTTGGGGTCTGTGCGTTTGGAATTTCGGTCTGTGCGTCTTGTAATGGTGTGTGCGTGTTCCTGTAATTCGACATCCAAGGAGTTAAAAAATTATTGGGGGTATGGTTGAATGCATGTTGTTTTCCCGAATATGGAAGAAATTAACTAAATGGGTAGAAGTGGTTTGTTATTGTTTGGGCGTCACGGGAGTAGTATTGGGGGTCTGTGCGTTTGGGATTGTGGTCTGTATGTCTGCTTGTTATAGTGCGTGCGTGTTACTGTTGTGGCGTGTGCGTTTTGGTGAATTGGAGGTGTAAAATCTTTTTCCTGTAATTCGAGATCCAAGGAGCTAAGTTATTATTTGGGGTATGGTTGAATGTATGTTGTTTGCCCGAATATGGAAGAAATTAACTAAATAGGTAGAAGTGGTTTGTTATTTTTGGGCGTCACAGGTAGGGGTGTTCATTCGGTTAACCGTTCGGTTAACCGAACCGTTTTAACCGAACCGAATTAACCGAACTTTTTTTTTGCTTTAACCGTTAACCGAACCGAAATTTACTCTACCGAATTGACCGAACCGAACTTTTTTTCGGTTAATCGGTCGGTTAACCGAAATTTTTTAACCCTAAAATTTAAAATCCATAAAATAATTCCTAAAATAATAATTCCAATTAAAATAAAATACATATCATAATAAATTCATATTATTATGTATTCTATTTGACATTTTGACTATTTTTTATTTTAGTAATTATATATTTAATATTTAATATATTATATATTATATATATATTCTAAAATTCGGTTAACCGTTCGGTTAATTCGGTTAACCGACACTTTCGAACCGAATTAACCGTTAACCGGATTTTAGGAAAACCTTTAACCATTAACCGAACCGAAATATTTCGGTTCGAAAACGGTTAACCGAATTTCGTCGGTTCGGTCGGTTAACCGAAATTTCTCCAAAATTTGCACACCCCTAGTCACAGGAGTAGTATTGCGGGTCTGTGCGTTTGGAATTGTGGTATGTGTGTCTACTTGTAATGGTGTGTGCGTGTTACTATTGTGACGTGTGCGTTTTGGTGAATTGGAGGTGTAAAATGTTTTTCCTGAAATTCGAGATCCAAGGAGCTAAGTTATTATTAGGGATATGGTTGAATGCATGTGGTTTGACCGTATATGGAAGAAAATTACTGAATGGGTAGAAGTATGGGGGGTCTATGCGTTTTTAATTATGGAGTGTGCGTATTCATGTAGTGGTCTGTGCGTGTCGTGGATTCGGTTAGTGCGTGTTGGGTAAATTCATTTTGGTAGCAGATGTTTATTTGTCGGGCAATGGAGAAGCGTGTGCGTAATGATGATGGGGCGTGCGCATTTACGCGTTGTGGAGGCAATATCACATTGGAACCACACGAATTCGGATACTTCTATACAATGAGAAGAAAACCAACTTTTGGAGGCAATTGATTTAAACACATTACACATGTAATGAATTGTTGGCAAGAAAGCAACCATTTAATTAAATTGAGTCACTTCAGTTACATCTTGGTTGTGTGAAATCCTAAATGTCATCTATTAACAACCAATATTCTAGGCAAAAATGGTGAAATGTACACCTTGGCAGATAAAAGAGATAAAAGAGTATCTGGCTCTCTCTTCATATGCAGGTCATGATCAATAAAGAAGAGCCAATCTTTCTTTCTGTATACAACTTCAAAAGGGTTGAATATCTCAGCCTCATAAAATCCATACTTCTTATAAGCCTCCATCTTCTTTTCCCAAGTCTCTTTGCTCATTGCCCTGAAGGCATGAACTACTATAAGAAACTTGTATCTCCGTGGGTTAAACCCCATTCCCTGGAGGTTGCAAAATCATGAATTGTAGTGCAGGATGAATTCCAAACATGAATTGTTGTGCAGGTATAGGCAATACATTTAGCAAAACATTTAAATTGCATTTAAGCTTGTTGAATTCAACTTTAAAACTAAGACCAATTGTTGAAACCCACAGTTTATGTG